TCCTCGAAGTTTCTGTTAATGTTATATTGGATTTTCCTTTACAACTTTAATATCATCGACCGCTGCGACCTCTGACAACTTTGGCTTTTGGATAAAACATGGAACATTTTCAGTATTTCATTCATTTCATTCACCTGGAAATCTATTTATATCGCGGGATTCCTCTCCTTCAATCATATACAAAACATGTAGAGTTGTAACCATTTTGCATCAATTCCGAGAACATCACAATTCAAAAGATTTAACTGTAGAGAATAATTCTAGATAAAGCATGCGCTGCGACCTTGAACTTCCTTTTTAATCGTGGGCGTTGTAGGTTTTGGTATGACTTACAAACGAAAATATCAACGACTCCAGTACAAAGTTGAACAAAGTGATTAATCGTTCTTACAGCTATACTGACATTTAAAAGAAACTTGATAATTATGATATATATTTGAGACATTACATGAACTTTTAAATTTAAGAAACTCCAACTGGCACGTTATTTGATACGTCCTTAAAGTGCGTGTTAACCCATTAACCTTGTGAATTTGTGTAATGGATTAGCGCAACTTTAAATCTTGAACAATCCCATTAGAAATTTAAAGGATTTCTGTATCAAGTTTCAAAATTGAGCTACCAACATTATTAAGCCTGGCCACAGGAGCACGAAAGTTCGGGCTGGCATGGGTCTAAAGAAGTATACAAATGCCACCTGACAAATGCTTATCACTTTATATATCAATAAATGCAAGAACACGTATATGTGTTTGAGAGTTCTTTGCACATTTGCGTGTGCGTTTATTCAACTATATGTCTTTTTTTGCGTTTTTGTGTGAATTGTGTGTATGCGAAACTATACATGTTTTGTGTAACTTGCACGTTTATACGATTGTTTGTGCTTTATGTTCTTTGCATGTTAAATAATTAAATCAATTCAAAGCATCGGTGCCAACCAGCATGTACAACCGCTTGGCACTTGTAAAACCGTAAAGAAATTTATAAATATTAGCTAAATACCTCTTAATAAACGTAATATTTCTTTCTTTATGTATAAATCAAAGCGTCCATTTACCCATTTAAATGTCAAGGAGAGAACATATAACTTCGTGTGGCTATGGATAAAGAATAGATATTAAATTGATTTCCTATCGTAAATTGTTACTCTCGGAGAGGATTTTTATATCAAGTTGTCATCTGTATATAATAGAATATTTAGCGCGCGGTTTTCGAACAATTTTCGTCTGGTATAATGCTTAAATAATAACATACTTTAGCGGGCTCACCCTTTTCGAACGATTTTCCGTGTATTTGTCATATACTAAAAATAAATAAATAAATAAGGCAACGGTATTACATCAGATGAATCAGTCTTAAAAAGTTAATTATCATGATCCATTACTATGTTTTATTAGTTAACTGTAACTAGGAAATTTTAGATATCAACATCTAAATGTTGAGCTTAGCATATTAAAAATCAAACTGTAAAGAAAATCTTAGTTAATGACCAGGCAAAATACATAATTTGCACTTTTCGAATTAAAAGTAAGATTTTCTATCCCTTATAAAACGAGTCGTGTATTTTCGGATGTTTCCGGAGAAATGTATACACAAAACCACCTACTCGCTAGTTAATTGTATAGAATAAATGGACATATTTTCTTTTAATTGCAGGAATACTTCAGGACCCTTTTCAAACTTTGATGCATATTCAATTTTGTGGACTTCCATGTAAGAAAAAGGTGATATTTATTTGGTAACGTCATAAACAATGTGTTTCAAATTAATTTTCCTCCATGTACGTTGTATTGATTGACTAAAACTGTAAAATTTCAAAAGGTATGGGCAAGTTCTTTAAGTAGTGTCGCTTTATTTAATTATTTAAAACATTTCTGTGATACTTTAGAATCGCTTTAACGTTGAATAATATTGATATTATTTTCATGTTTAAGACTGTTTTAAGACTGTTTCTATATGTGTGGAAAAATGTCATAAATTATGTTTACGTCATTGTACAGCCATGGCGTCATGTTGGCATTGGCTTAAAGCTAGCTGTTATGAAATAATGATCTTCTGACAAATAACATGGCATTGATTAATGCATTTATGAAATAATTATAGGTGCCAAATTCATAAAAACATACATTATGTAAATCAAATTATATTTATAAAGAGGTCCGTAAAATTTAAGTATTAGATATTTACAGAAAAAAAAAAGAAACATTAAAGCGCTTTTTCTAAGAAAGCCTTTTTTTTATTTTTTTTATTTTACTATAACTGCTATATAACTATTCTATAATTTTGTCAGAGGTTTAAAAACAGTCCACAAATCAAATAAATTATATTCTTATATTTTCATTACCTCCCTTTTGTATATGTTTTCAAAACATAAAATTTGTTAATATACCTGATTAAACAGCTTTTTACAATGCGTCGGCATCATGGTTGTGTTTTAAGACACATTTTAATTACAAAGCATGTCACGTGGCTTATTAAAAGTTATTTTTCGTCTACAAATATTTTTTTAAATACATGCAAGTTACTAAATCGTGTTTCAGATTTAAAGTATAATATGTTATATAATAGCTATCACAGTTCCCTCTCTTATTTTCATATAACTTCTCCTTTGAAATGAGCAGACGATGTTAAGTAAAGCAGCCGACATCGCGCTGCATCAAATAATGCACCAGATCTGATAAAGGTTTAAAATTATACCATATTCCCAATAACTCTGTGAAAGGTACACTGTTCCACTTTGTCATCACATCTCCCGAGATTTACCGATTTCTACCGGAAAATGCCGAATAATGGCGAATTCATCTGCCTGACTCATCTTCGCTCTCTAACAATGGTTAAACATTGATCTATATGTGGTAATTGTATCCCAGGAGTATAAGGTTATATACATTGATTAGGAATTAATTATCTGATGAGAGGAAATGTCTCACCGAGAAGGAAATGCTGTTTTTAGCTACTGTAACAAGAAAACCTGTACGCAAGAGGGAGAAGGAAACAATGAAACACGTTTACAAGAGTGAAGGCAATAATGTCAAACTTTTACAAGATTAATATAATTATAAACGTTAACAAGAACAAAGGCAAAAATAAAAAAAAAACGTGAACAAAATTAAGGCAATAATTTCAAGCGTAAAGGCAAAATGAAAAACGATTACAAGCGGAAAGGCAATACTTTAAAACGTTGACAAGGGTAAAGGCAACAAGCAAAACCTTTTACAAGAGAAATTAGACATGTTTTGGTAAATGTTTTTCTTCGAATTCCAAGTAAATTGGTTATGTTGTATGCTCCATTTCTTTACAAACACCCATTTCAAACCAAGCTGAAACTAAATTTGCCTGGTACCTATATTGTTCGATATTGCAAATTCTTTTAATAATCCATATATGATTTCTTTTTAAATTCCGACGCTGGAATTTCACTTCTAATATCTATACTCGTAGCATTACAAATAGATATTGCACTATTACGTCACTTTCAAAACTTAACTTTTAGCCTACTGGTGTCAACTAAATCAATGCAGACTATGAACAACCGGAACACCCTTGCCGTCTGATTAAGGTCTACACTGTTCGATATTCAATCAGTGCCTGAATTAGAAATATCCCTAAATATCAGAATGAAATGTGGGCAAGTGCATTTAAGCTAATATAGCGTGGTTTTAACTGTTTATATTAACTATGTCACTACAAAAAGGGAAAAATGTTTCGACATTGTTCGTGTAATGGCTCTCCTTTTCTACATAGACACGCCATTTCACCACGCGCCACGTGATGCAGTTGTAAACAACTTAATTAAATACTTTCCCTCTGTAAAATTGCATGTCTAAGTGTCGTAAAATGATGACTAATTTCATTAAAGTATGTTTTATTCTTTTTACAGATAGTGCTTTCATCGTCAAAATATCCATAACTATCTTTTACATTCGATGGTTTCAATGCACGAGTTTTTTGTTTGTGTGTTCACGTTTGAAGTTTATTTTTTTATTTGATATCTTCCTTTTTTCGTTTGTTATACAGCCATTGTTATTGAGCAAATATTTGTTTCAAGTTGAGAAGAAAAAAAGGAAAGCATGGTTGAATAAAAGGTTCAAAAGAAATGATAAAAAAAATTGGAGAGTTTTCAATGCATTTTTAGGAATGACTGTAAAAAAGTGTGTTAAATTAATGGAATATAAAAACTTAAATGAAGCTCATATCCAATTTATTATACAAAGATGAAAAATCCTTATAAATTTAGCAAAACGATCAAATTTAGGCCCTCTGAATCGGAGGAATCGCAACACACGTTGTATCGATGGAATACATTATCTTATTCATACAAACTATATAAGTATATACTAGTTTACATGTATGAGAAAATAACAGAATTGTTTAATACTATCATGAATATTAATTATCATTCTTATTATCATATTTAATTCACGTTAAAAGAACATGTTTTTGGAAATATAAGTATATCCTGTTTTAGTTTGAACTGCATTGTATTTGAAAATATACTTCTTTTAAGTTTAGTAACAATTTATCAGGCTGTATGCAAGACCAGTATTATGATTTAGGTCGCAAATTATGTTTCATTTTGAAATGGAAATATAAAAGTATTCTTATTTCAACTCCATGTACTTTTAGTAAAGGTTAGTGATGTATTAGCAAGCATTTACAAAATCAAATTAGTCACAAGGAAACCTCTCACATACCCTTCACACATACCGTAAATAACTCGCTCACTAAACGCATTCTTGAAAGTATTTCTACACATATAAAACAGTTTCAAGCAATTAATACAGAACGTGATTTAAAGATCTAAAGGAAGTAGTGTATACGGTATTGATCGATAAAAAATACTGACTGAGATTTAAATATAACACTAAACTTAACAAATATAATAAATGCACCATTCAGCTGTAACCCCATCATCCGTCCCTGGAGAATAGCGAATACTTTGACTTTGGGACTTTTACATTTGACAGGTGCATGAATCATTCAAGAACTAAGGCTCTTACCTGTTGGCCGGTCCCTTGCCGTAAGCTGCTGCTGCAACCGGTTTTGCTCGGCTTGCAGCTCGTGGGAAAGAGTATTGAATTTCCGGAGGAGTAGCTGAAGTTCTTGGCTACTACTTGTTGAGATCGGTTTGGGGACAGCATACACTGGATCTTCGTCGCTCATTGCGCCTGCGTACGTTTCATAATCCGAAGCGAACCCCCTAGCGTCCGCCGCGAGAGCACCGCCGCTTGGGCTCGTGTACAGAACCTCAGAATCTGAATTATAACACTCGGGAGATCTCGGACGTGGAGCTTTTCCACCGTATTTTGCTTTGGAATGTATCATTTCCCTGAAGCCACCTATATAACGTCTTGCATTGTCGCTATAGTTACTTCTAGACCCGTACCCACACTCGGACAACGCTTGATAGGTGTCGCTGTACGCACCACGGTCACTGTCCGAACTGTAGTACCGAGTTCGAGCAGGGGTTTGAGATATTGAACTGCCTTTTGAAGGCGATCTTTGGTGAGTTGGTAAATATTTTTGTTGTGTCTGCTGTTCCTTATAGAACATTCGACCATATTCGCGCTCTAATGAATCACTCTGTGGCAGTGTGTACGTAGGTAATGAGCTTGGAGCGAGGTAGCCGTATGGATCTTCAGGGGGGACCATCGTAGTACTGTATCCACGATGCCCCGCATAATGTTCTTTGCTGCCTGAATCTATACTGCGCGGTAATGAACCTTCACTAGAATGGTCACTATTGTTATCATCAACAGTTAGCAATTTAGCCTCGGCTTTATGAGGAGATATGAAAATACTAGCATATTGAGAGGTAGAGCGTTCTTGGCGACTTAAACGTTTCCCTAAATAATCCGTATCTAAATGAGGCGAAGGTTCGAACATGTTCGGCATCTTCTCGGTCATTTCTAACTGAGTGTCCGAGTTCGCCCGAACATGCCCCCTTTTTAACACAACCACGGGCGGTTCATCTCTTTCTGTAACCGCTAACGATGGACACGACACATTTTTCTTATTACAATTTTTCTTAGATCTAATTTTAAGTATCAATTTTCTAGGAATAGACATAAGTATAACAACATCGTCAAGAGACATTTTACCCACCTCCACTGTATTGACAGAAATAATCTCGTCACCAATGTGTAATAATCCATTACTTTCGGCAACTGTTCCTGCTTGAATACGAGAAATAAACACACCTTCCTGTCGATCCTGACCATTTCCCTCGCGAATATAAAATCCAAGGGTCTGACCAGGACGTTTAAATATTTCCACTGTTTGAATCACTGATGAATTTTCCATTTCTATAGTTTTTATGCCCATTTCCGGGGCTCCACTGCGATTGGAAGTCCTGTTTTTAGCACCATAACTAGATTGGAACTCTTCCTCGCTACCTGGTTGTCTCAGCGGTGACTCGTCTGCAGTTATTTCGCCAGCCGATGACTGAGCGCGTTCTGACACATAAGTCGCGTATTTGTATGGCCTGCTTTCTGCGCTCAAAGATCGTCTGCTCGCTCTGACCTGCTGTGAAGAATGTCTGTGCCTGCCCGCGTTCTGACGACCAGGCCCCTGTGCCATGGACTCTTCTTCCTGAAATGTAGCAGAAGATATTTTGAGCAGACGTATTTGTGCTTGCTGGGAGACAGAATTAAATTAATCACGCTTCTCGATCAATATCACGCTCAAAACAGACTCCGTTTCCCTTCAAAGTTATTAAGGTGCTTTTACACCGAGTTACAGCGCGCGACCCACCCGATAATCAATAGTGATCAGCAGCCGACAGTTATATTCTAAATTTAGACACGTTTGTTCTGAAAAAAGGGTAAAAGTAATATACGACCTCTCGTAAGTAGTTGAAAACGAACAACACACTTTCATTATTCGGATTTCCAGGCGCTTAAAAATCGTTTTGTATAAACAGACTGAATTGACGTTATGTGTCATTTTGTAAAAGGAAATCTTTACGGGATTTGACGATAGTGTGTGTCGCAGACCTGGGGGTTTTACCGATAATCGATATCTTAATGTATGTGACAGACGATAAACTAATTTTATACAACTCCAGAACGACGACACCGATAATATTAGCTGTATTTATTTCCCTTAAACTGTCAGCGTTCAAGCGAAACAGATCCTAGGTAGCGTTTCAATTTGCGATACAAGCGTTTCAATTTGCGATACAATACATCAAGAAAGTAAGATCATACCCGTTAATAAATAGATCTTTATTATCAAGGTTTTCTGATTATAATGTAATACGTATTGTTGATATTAAAACTATTTGATAAAAGAACGTTTACAAATATATGCAGAATTTTGTTTCATAAACTTTAAAATAAGGAGTGCGTGATGTTCCTAAAAGTACTGATATGAATAAGTGAACTGAATTAATCAATGAATGAAATAATGGACGCACGGACGCACGAATGAAGAAATGATTAAACAAAAAACTAATTAATTGATTAATTAACGAGTTAAGTAAAGAATGCATGAAATCAATCTTATTAAAATACCATAACTTTAATTAGAACAGCATTTTGTTCCCTTTTACGCCTTCATTTCAATAATAAATCCCTCAATCGATTTCATTCATTCATTCATTCATTCATTCATTCATTCATTCATACATTCATTCATTCATTTAATTCATAAAATGAATAACCAGCAAATATTTTTAACTTACAGTACATATGTATGATATAAAAACTGTAAAAATATGATATTATGTGTACATTTATTTCTCATTTGACTGTGTGACTGTGCGCAAAATATTGTGAAAATATCAAAGTACTGGCACTGGTACTTATTGACTTCCAATATAAAAGTACTTTTACTATCAAATTTAATTACTGAATCAAAACTAATACTGCGCGTAAATTGACAAGTAGTGGTTTTGGTTATTAAGTACTGAATCCCTATTACCGCATGTCTGGTGTGTTAAAACAACATAGTAAAGTTATGTCTTTTGATATCTATCAAATATTCATGAACAATATTTGGCACGTTTTTGTAAGATATAAGTTCTTCATAAAAGTCTATCAGTATGAACTGTATAATTAAGTCGATCATTATCAATTTCTTTACTGAACCATCGATCTCAAATGTCAGAATATTGCTAAAGTGGGTTTCGTCTGCAATAGCATATATTATACATAGATCGCAAAAATAGGTATTTGAAATTTAATTTTAATTTTAAATTCACTCAAGAATTAGGTAATATTAATATTCCATTCTTTTTAATTGATCGTATACCGGGTAAATAAATCGGGCCCAGAAAAACTTTAATCATAAAAAAAAAAAATTTTTTCAAAAATTCCTTTAAATTTTTTTAAATAATTTAACTAATATTAAAGGCCCATTATGCCTCAGAAATGTTTTTATTTTTATTATTAAATTTTGTTTTAACATTGGTGTACTTTTATAGTATATAGTATATTTCTTCTGTTACATTTTGGCCATAAGCTCAGTTATAGCGATTTAGTATATTGTTTGAACCCCAAAAAACAATTTTGTTTATTTTTTTGCTATTTTAAAACAAATTAATTTAAATTTATAGCGTTTTCTTAGTAACAAGCATCTAAATTCTACAAAAAACCCTTATTTAAAAATTAAAATAAAATTTGACCTTTTTAAAAAGAAAAAAAAATTTTTTTCTGAGGGTTTTTAATGAAAGTATATTTTCTTTGTTTTATATTTTTAAAATTCGCCCTATATAAAAAAATATTGTATAGTTTGATGACAATATGCAGCCTGACCAGTACTCGAACCCAGGACCCCCGGATATACCGTTTCAGGACACCGCAGCTATTCAGTCACTCACAAATTTTCTCCCATTTTTAGTGAACAGTTCTATAACGTAACAACTACACGAAAATTATTTTCTATCAGGAGAATGTCATTGTACTTTTGCAGTATAAACGTCTGAAGAGTGACACGGGAATATTTTATTCACCGTCTCTTAAGGGCCCATTTAGCCTCAGAAATACTATAAATTTTATTTCTCAAAAACTTTTTTTTTATCTTTGGTACCTTGTTATAGTTATACATGATATATTTATCTTTTGCTCGTTTTGCTCTTTGGCAATTGTTATACATGTTTTTATAGTGATTTAGTATTTTGTATGGAAGTCAAAATTCTACCTTGTTTACATTTGTCTACTCTGCCGACACAATACTGCACACTCAGTGCTACCTTCTTCAGTGGTTTAACATCTAAAATGCCCTAAATTCGTTACTAAAACATGTTTAAAGTTACATAAAATAAATATGTAAAAATATTTTGCCGTCGGCCTAAAAATCAAACATTCTACAGTTTCATTTACCTGTTTAAAAGTTTTGTTGTAAATCTCATCAAATAGTGTTCATAAATTAGGATTTTAAACGGGAAACCCCACGGTAACACTAAAGTTCGTATACGAATTTTAACATGCAAATGAAGACTATAATGAGCTCGTGTATGCGCTACGTCACAGTTTTATAGTTGCTATACGGAACACAGCAAATGTGATATTTTCTTGTGCAAACACACTTTAACCGTTTAAGCTTCACGAACCTGGGGTTCAGTAAAAGTAATCATCTCGTAAAAAGATTAAATTTGTATGAAAACATCCGTTACAATGCGGAAATATACCGTTAAATTAGGACTACTACTTATAGTCATGTTTGTTGATTTAATATTGATATACGGATGATCCGAAGGCGGAGTTTCTCATGCAAACAGAAATTGTACTTCCCATTTCGCCACAATGAGGTTACCCATTTTAATGCTAATAAAACTCATTTTGGTTGTCTGGACACCAAAATAAGACCTGGAGTCGATATAAAACCCAATTTGTTAATGAAATGTCGCTATTTAGTTTTTTATGAAATTTATTAAATGTAACTTTAAACACAGGGTTGACATTTCTAAAGAATTGAAAAAAAAACATTGATTTCGGAGGTATAATGTGCCTTTAAAACTTACCATAGTCGTGAATGTCCAGGAATAAAAATAAAACACATTTCAACATGGGAACAACATCCCATATTATAAATATTCCAAAACGAATGCAACAAAACGTATATGATTTTTCATTTTTTACATATTTCCCTAAAGAATTGAAATAAAAGCGTTAAAGATTTCTTTAACGTGCACTTTTTAACTTCTTCACACTAACGTGGTTAAATTTTTCTTCTTCGGAAAACAGAAAATAACTCGTCGAAACAAAAGCATTATGTTTTAACACAAGCTTCCGGGTACTATTCTTGAAATATCCGCAAGAAAGTCGCAGTATATGCCGATTTAAGAGAAGTCAAACTTTTCGTCTTAAGGCCATTATCATAAAATTCCATTCCACGACGATGATACATGTATGTAGCCTTTTACCAAACACTTATATGTCTGCAACACAGATATTTTGAAAACTATCAGAGAAAACTTTATCCTTAAAAGAGGGATTTCTATGTGTAAGAATTTCCAGAAATGTCTGCCGATAAGTTGTTGCCGAAAGCATTTTCTAAATTATTTAATGCATTAACGTCCCCGGAGAGCATAATATGTAAGGTTACGTGAAATTTCCAAGTTCATAGCACTGGCATAGACTAAAATCACCTTCACGATTGATTTGACGAGTTAAGATGTTTTATGAATGTGTTTCATGAATGGCTTTGATAAAAAACAACAAAAAAAACCAAAAAACAAACGCACAACTGTACAACCACACTAGGTTTGTTTTCATAACATCATAAAAAAATGACCGGAAATGGCTTTTGACACCCTTACAACGCTCAATATCTTAAATGGACTTGTCAATTTTTCAGTCTAGGCAAAACCATTTATCATTTTAGGGAAAATTTAAAATATATAATGAGTGAATAGCGAATAGCGCAGATAATGACCAGACTACGAAAGACCGGAGTTGACATTTTAATTTCTTGAAATCTTGCGTTCATCTTTACTTCACCATTTTAACTTCATGAATTCACGATTTCAACAAAAAAAAAAACAACAAAAAAAACATCCATCAAAACTAAAATAACTAATAACACAAAATGAACAAAAACGTAAAGTAATACCAGGATAAAAGAAAGACGAACATAAATATTATATAGAAAAAACAATTCCTGGATCATTTTTAGATTGAGGTATCCAGTAATTCTGCTTATTCAATGATTTTTTTATATATCAAAAAGTTTAAAAACATGAAGAAACCAAATGTGGTTAAACGGAAAGTGTTTTCTATAGAAATGTCTTTCTATTTTGGTCATCAATGACTGTCAAGGCTAAAGAAAAAAGAGATATTTCAAAGATTGCAAAAAGGTTCCATTAATTCTATAATATTGTGCGTCGACCGTCAGTTACTTCCTTGACAAGCATTATGTTTTTGTTTTTTTTTTGTTTTTTTTTTGTATTAGTGTACATGTATACGTTTGATCGGTTTGTCAGAAGACATTTTGTGACAATTTTGAGAGATAAAACAGACTGGGTTATTAATTGGAACATCTAGTTTCACGCTTGATTATATGTTGTCAGAAAAATCTGAGGAGATTTGCGGAAATATTTTAGAATTTCTAATTAAAAAGACGACAACGATATTCTTCTCCTTTTATGGAACTATTCGAAAGCAGTTTATTCATAGAATGATGTAGCTTAAACGATATATAATATGACTTACTCTTATAATATGAAAACGGTATTTTGGTTTTTGGAAATTATTTCTGGGTTATATGTCAAGCTAGCTATGTTTGTGCATATATTTCTATTTTTGTGTGCAAATGTACTTATATTATCGGAGATTCTTTGAAATCTATATACTGAAATAAATGAATGAGTAAAATTGGCAAATTCGGTAAAATAAAATAATTTGTAAGAGTAACATCTCTTATGCACCTCGAACCGATTTAGATAGCAACTAAAGATAT